GGCTACCGTATTAATAATAAGTAGGTACCTACCTAGTAACAATATAAATAATATAATAAAAAATATCCACACTGACAAACCGTAACCGCTCAGTATCGTTTTTCGAAGGTACCTATACAAATATACAATAATATCCATGGTGTAACCAGGGGGGGGGGGGGTAAGGGCAAACAAAATCAATGTAGGTATTCTTTCTGGTGTTTTAAACATAACAACTCTGCTCATTTGATTTCTATAGCAAATCATTTGTGTATAAACAATTATTGTTTTGACGATTTTTGATCACCGGCATGCATGGTCCGAAAAACCGTGACAACTTTGTGGATCGCAAGGTAAATCTAGTTTGGAAAAAATTAACAATCATAGCGTACAATAACACGTACCATAGGCATTTGTGTTTGTAATTTTATCAATTTTCACTCGGACTCAGTCCTGTATAAGGGGGGGCCACGGGAACCTTTGGCCCGGGTGGCCAATTTTTGACACATTTAGGGGGGGGGCGGCCAGGCGCCGGTGTATATTATATAAATAACATTTTTTTTTTTTTTGTAAGAATTTGTTGAGTACCTATACTTGGACTTTTTGCATTGCATGACTATGATACGGCTATTTGGCGTCATCTATTCATTTTGTCAATCAATGATAACTATTAATTTTTGTAATTTTTTTATAGATTACATTTGTATGTTGTCATACATTTTGACAATAGTTAAAATAATGTATCATCATGATCTGTGTGCTTAACAAAATGTACATAAATAAAGAACTACAAGTAAACATATAAAAAAGTGGGTAAGTGGATGTCGCTATGCTGTACAGTAGGTGACAAGTGGGTCACTGTAATGGATGGTGTTAAATTTGAATTCAATGATATAATATCATTGTATAAGAAAAACGATTCTGAGCGAAAACAGTCAGTCTATGATATTACTAAATACTTATAATAATAATAATAATAATAATAATTTTATTAACGGAATAAAATTCCAATTTACAATAATAAAAATAATGACAGTTTCATAGGTGTGTGTTATACTAAAAATTAAACAAATGATATAAGAATGAGAGAAAAAAGTGAGAGAAAAAAAAAAAGAACATAATATGTATATTGTACCTATATATATAGAGAAATTAAAAGTTAGACAATTGATTATATAACAATTCGATTAAAATTAATATAATAGTAGGTAATAATCTAAAAATGACAACTTAACGAGCTAAGAGTCATATTGAACAGGTCCAAGTTGTTAAAAAAGTTACCACATGACATTAATATAATAGCAGGGTAGTATAACATGTAGTTAGTTTTAATTATAGATAAATAAAAAGGATGTTTATTTCTTGAATTTTTTATATTTACATTGAAATTAATACGCTCTAAAAGTTCTGGGCAATCAATTAAATTATGTAATAGTTTAAAAAGAAATTTTAAATGTAACATTTTAAATCTACTATTTAAAGGAGCAATATTAAAAAAAATACTAATATTAATATATCCAGAATGAGGACGTCTTTCAAAGTGGCATTTAAAAGATAAATATCTCAAAAAATTATTTTGTAAACTAGATAGACTCTGGGTTTGACAAATGCTATCTGCTTCAACATTATACAATAACTTTATAACAATATAATATCAGGAGCCTTACATTAAATTGTCAAGCTTTTTTACCAAGCAATAACTTACGAGGAATCTTGTATTACATTTTCAAATCTTGGATTTTTTTAGGGGGGGGCGTACAAATATTGTTGTCCCAGGGCGCAAAATGTGTAAATACGGCCCTGCTCGGACTCAGCTATATATTAATTGTTTGATCCAAAACCAAGCTCGATGCAGGGAAAACCTTGCTGTGTATTGTAAGCATCCAATTGCTTGTGTTGTATGGTCAATTGTCAATTAACCGTAATACAATCGACTAGGTGGAATTGCTAAACGAGTCAATGTCGAAGCTGAAAGCTCGAATCAGGCCAATTCTCACTCCCACCATTACACGTGTACACACTCATACATTCACCCTACACGAAAAAAAACGCAATAAACGCAAAAAACAACCATATGGTTGTGTAGCGTTAAATTGCTTGGTTGGTTGTACTAGACCGGTTTCAAATAATTTGTAGGTTTCAAGCCTAGACCAGTAAATTAATCTGACTATCCGAGTAATTTATTTATTGGCTGCAGCTCACTGTAATAAGTTATTTGATAAAAGCATACGTTCATAATATCAAGGTTGGCACGAAAAAGCCCAGCCCGAAAAAAAACTTAAGCTGCTTTTCTGGCTTAAACCCACTCATAATTTTGAAAAAAACCCGGGCTTATTTTCTGAATAAAATAGAAGTTCACCTATTATTTATTTTTACAATCAAAGTATTAAACCGTTTTGAAAAAAATGTAATTATTATATTTTTAATTAGGTTTTAGGTAGGTACAATTAAAAGTATAAAATGGAAAATATTACACACCAACGGTCAATAGAAATGTTAACAATCTTTTATTTTTAATAAGGTATTGAATAGGTAACTCTCACGCCCTGTAGAATTGTCGGATTTCGTTAATTTTTTTTTTATCTAAAAGTAGAGAAAAAAATTGTAGGTTGGATCAAAGTCCGATTTGAAAATTATAATTATAGAAGTTGGAATATGCATTTGAAAAATGCACAATATAATTTGTACTTTTTCAAACGTATTTTCTACTACTATTTAAAGTAAAAAATTCGAGATTTGATGCGACCTGCAGAAACTTCTCATATTTCAGATAAAAAAAATTGACCAAAATCCTACATATCTACGAGGCATGAGAGTTTTTCCTGTGAAACCATTTTTGTTCATCAAAATAGTGCTTCGATAATTATAGTCATCAAAGTCTAGCACTGACTAGGGCATGCGTACATAGGTACATATCTTTATCAGCTGGTGTAATTATAGCTCACTCACACAAATATCGATTTACATTCTCACACACATTCACGTTCCGCGCGAGGCCGATACAAAATGTGAATTAATTGCCTAAATGTTACTCCTTAATTGATGACTGGCACACATTAATATAATATTATCCGTGCCACGGAGAAGGTGCACGTACATCAAATTACAATTATTATTACAATATAATTAATTATTATTTAGGATACGCCGTCACACCGGCTCACGATTCGGTCTGCGGTTGCGACTACACTATATTATACTTAAGAGGACGCTACCCATACATATTTTGTTGTCTCCGTCTTACACACGCACAGCATGGAAAATTGTCGTTCACTAGCAGTGCCGTAAAAACCGGGTGTGCAAAGTGTGCACCGCACACAGGCCTCGGGCCTCATAATTTATCGAAGGGCCTCAAAAGATCTAAAGACTAATATTAAACTAATATAAAATTATTAAAATATATAAATTATTTATTATTGATTTGGAAACGAAACCAATGTTATTTCATTTTTTTATTTAGCATGGAGTCGTGATCACTGTTTTTAGATTTAGAGAGGAACGAACAAATGTATTGATTTTACAAGATATGTATAATTTTTTTCATTTCTGTCGGTCATCAACATTGGGTAGTAAAAATATTCCGAAATTCTAGATCAGCATTTTTTCTGTTAGAAAAGTGAATCTAGTTGGAACTTTTTGGAGATCGAAACCGAAATTTTTATTTTTAGATATTAAAAAGCGTCAATAGAAAAAAAAATTGTCATTTATACCTAAAACAAAAATGTTATTTTTTGGTATAATTCGAAAACTAATAACCGTAGACCATTGAAGTTTTCACCAAATATTTATTTTAATATTTTCAATAAATTACATTTTGGAAAATTTTTACTTTTTTGAGTTAGTTATAATAGCCTTGAGAAATTGTTTTAAAATTGTAGATTATTTTAAATTTAAAATTTTTTTTTGTTTAAGCCTGAATTTTTGCCTGCTGACTTTAAAAATTGCAAAAAAAGTTTTTGAGGTGTGTATTGAAAAAGATAATAAGGGGCCTCAATATTTTGGTTTTGCCTCAAGTAGCCTAGTTACGGCACTGTTCACTAGTTTCAATAGTGTGCTAGTAGTTTTGATACTAGAGTGAATTTATCTATTATAAAACTTTTCTGTTTAAACTTTCACACTATCTGTGCTTGAGCGTTGAACATTTTTCGAAATTTTCATTTTCAAGCGAGATATGGATGTGTAAAATATCAAAAAATAAAAATGCTCATATCTCGCTTGAAAATTAAAATATCGAATAAAAGCCAACGCTTAAGCACAGATATTGTTACCATCTAAAAAATTGACGATAGGTCATATCACTCAAATATCAAAACTAACGGCACACTATTGAAACTAGTGAACGAAAATTAGCAGCTATATCACACGTACGACATAGTGGAGACAACAAATGTATAGGTAGCGTCAGCATCCTCTTAATAAAATGAAATCTTAATAAAATCGTGCTGTGTCCCGCCGATCGCTCGGACCTGCATTTATTAGTAATTTGATTTTTGCAAACCAATGGACAATGGTATTCATTTTTATTCAAACGCACGTCGGCCCTAATTAAGTCGATAATATTTCTGAGCATTACAATAATCATTAGTATAAAATACTATAAATTATTAATCACAAGTTTAGGTTATATAGGTGAACCAAATAGATATTAGTTGTGTATAAAAGAGTGCAATTTTTTTAATTTTTATCAGTTACACTTACGTGCGTTGTTTGTATCACTCGTCGTCATTGAATTAATGTATTGACTAAATATATTTAATAAATTAAGTATGAATACGTTTAAGCTTCCGAATATTTTATTTAACATAGTGATTTTTCATCTCATTTATGCATCAGAAACGACAAGATATGTAATAATAAAGACATGTGATATTTATACAAGTAAATGTATTAACAATCATTACGAGTCGACTGAATCTAATGCGTCGTTTTTTGCACAACATAATTTTACAATCGACAATAATTGGAAATCCGTCGGAGAAATTATGTATTGTAAAAAAGGTACTTGCCATGCAGAATACACTATGAAGATTGAAAAAAGCACACAGATTGAGTATGGCAATGAAAAATCTTCAACGCGATCGTCCACAGTGGGCAACAGTGAATCTATTTCAGGTACAATAACTGCAGGTGTTAGTGCTGGTTTTTCGGCCATGGGCATACAATACGGCGGATCGATTGAAACTTCTGTACAAAGTGGTAGTGAACGATCATTTGAAGTGACTAATGAGAATGGCTTTACCGTATCGTATTCAACAAGTACAGCAAATACTGTCGGTGTGGAAGAAAAAATAACATGCGATGGGGTTGAAAATGAAAAAATGTTTGTACAGGCGCGAACAAACATGACACGAATGACGGGCAACGATTGCGTATATGTCGATAGTTTTTTAAATTTCAATAACCATGATGTGCACATATTCAACTGTAATTGGGTTAATTTACTAATGTATCCAGTACATAATCAAAATATAGTCACCGAATTGCAATGTAACCGTGAAATAATGAATTTTTAAATTTATATTAAAATAATATATACTAATATAGAATTATTAGAACTATTGTAGTAAACAATTAGTTGTAGGTATTGGTTGAATTACAAAAACATTTATTTTAATTACCTACCTATGTAGTTTTTATTTTTTCAGCGTAAAAACAACTCATTATATCGATAACAACGCGTACAAGGTACGCTTGCATTATCAAAGACATGTAAAGCATAAAGTCAAAGTTTTTAAAATAAAATGTATATTTCTCACAGGCATGACGCGTCGGCGTCCTTCCTTCTAGCACTTGTGCTTTGGTGGCGAATCTTCTCATGACAATGGGTGTGCCGTGTGGTAATATGTACTCGTCCATCTCATAGTTATCATAATTCTGGTCTTTTAATAAGACGTCAGGGAACAGAACTACAAATATTTCATGTTTTAATGTTTTGGTAAAAAAGTTAAATAATATATTTTTTTATATAATTATTTCTAAAAAAATCGAAGATAGCCATTTTGTAGAGTTAATTTTTCTGAAAATATTAACGTTTCAACATTTTAATTTTATTAATCACCTGGTTTTTAATATTTTTTCTAGTTTAAAAAAAAAACTGCGATATATTTATTACGATAGTGGTAGGTATAAAACATGTGACACGCGTATATACGGCCTCGAAAGTATTATGTTTTATTTCTTCAAAATCGTTGCAATTTGAAATAAAAATAAATTATTATTATTGTACAAAACATCAATATGTACATCTTTGTAATAGGTAGGTACCTACTTAGTATTAAATATCGTTATATTAAAATAATAATAATCAATAGAAAAAATTAATTATTTTTGTTTATTTTAGCGTACTCACACATCGATTTACATTCTCACACACATGCACGTTACGTCGATACAACATGTGAATTAATTGCCTAAATGTTGCTCCTTAATATAAATGACCGGCACACAGTAATGTAATATTCTCCAATCCACGGAGAAGGTGCACGTACATCAAATTACAATTATTATTACAATATTATTAATTATTATTTAGGACACGCCGTCACACCGGCTCACGATTCGGTCTGCGGTTGCGACTACACTATATTATACTTAAGAGGACGCTACCCATAGTTAGGTTCCGTCTTACACACGCACGGCATGGCAAATTGTCTTTCACTAGTTTCAATAGTGTGCTAGTAGATTTGATACTAGAGTGAATTTATCTATTATAAAACTTTTCTGTTTAAACTTTCACATTATCTGTGCTTGAGCGCCGAACATTTTTCATAATTTTCATTTTCATGCAAGATATGGGTATGTAAAATATCAAAACTTAAAAATGCTCATATCTCGCTTGAAAATTAAAATATTGAATAAAAGCCAAAAACTTAAGCACAGATAATGTTATAATAGAAAAATTAAATCTTAATTAAAAAATGCTCCGTTCGAAAATTTAAATATTTACTTTCCAATAATACCTGCTAATACATTGTATCACACAATATTTTACCATTTTAATGTTTTTTTGAGTTTACACACATATTTTTTTGCCTGTATTTTATTCTATTGGATCAAAAGACACCTCAAGCTGTTAAAATAATTGGGGGGTCCTACAGTACTTACATAGACTATTTATAGTAATATTAATTATCAAATTAAATTAAATATGTAAATTATAGGTTTACCAGACGTCAAACCTGTCCACACTTATGGAACTTACTTCTCAACAAGGAAAGGAAAACTTCTTTGAAAGAAAACTAGGCAAACACCAATTACCTTCAGTTGCACTCTGAATTGTATTAGTGAATAAAACTATTTGTCAATGACTTATTAATTATCATTATAAGATAACTTTTTTTTTTTAATTATAATAAAAAAGTAGTTATAATATATTTAAATTCTAAATAAATTATACTATCATACTTCATATTTGTCGTATTTATAGTTTAATTGTAATGTAAAATTTAGAAATATATTATGACTAATGTGTTTTAATTCATTTGTATACTTTCAGCAGTTATTTTTACATACTAAATAAGAAATTCTTAGTAAGTAAGAAGAAAAAAATTATAATATAATATAAGATGAAACTGTAGGCCTATAATACAATTAAGACATTTTGTTTTTTATGTCTATGGATATAACCGAGCACACGATTTTTTTCATGACCATAACGATTTAAGCTATGAAACTATTGGGCTACATATTTCGAAAATGAACTCATTATTTTTAATTTTAAGATCTTATTTTACAATTTTCATTACATATTTCTGAGTTTTTTTCTTTGTTTTATACATTTTTGAATTAATTACCTACTGTTGCGATATTGACAAAAGAAACTTACTTGCGAACACGCATTGTTTTCTTAGACCAAATGTTTTTTTTCTATATGTGAGATAAAGAAATCTAATTTTTATATCTATATTTGTTTCATGTCATTGTGATTCTAAATAAATCAATTTTTTATTGCTTTCTTGCAATTATTTCAGTTGTAGCTATGAATATGGTTATTGTTAACTTGTTTTGAGCTGTTTAAGGTTATTAAGCTCAGTTTCAAACTTTTTTAGGTTCTTTTTCAATGAATATCAATACAATTTTATTTGTTGGCTAGACAGCGTGAACAATTTATAATTAAAGGCTTTTGATATATTACTACAATATCAGTTGAAAAATATGAAAAATATATAATCACAATTTTTTTTTATAAGCATTTAAAGTTTGTTGAATTTTGACAAATTTTATCAAACTTAAAATTTAATAATTATTTTGTAGTTAAAAATGGATAACATTTTCAACTTTTATATCTAAGGATTCAAAAATTTAAAACAAGGTGCCACGTAAATAGGTTATATATAAATTACTTAATTCACAATAATGTATCATCAAGTAGATAGGTACATATACATTGTAATATTAGGCTGACTGACCGTTTTCGCTCAGAATCGTTTTTCTTATACAAATATACAGTGATATTATATCATTGAATTCAAACTTAATACCATCCATTAAACAGTGACCCACTTGTAACCTAGGTACTGTACAGTAGAACGACACCCTCTTGCCCACCTTTTTTTTAGTTTTTTTTTTTTAAAGGCTCCAGATTATATATTGTTAGTATAGCAGTTGAAAAATATTAAAAATACATAGGCCACATTTTTTTGTATGAGAATTTAAAGAACAAATTTTTGACAACAGTTATCAAATTTAAAATTTAATTATTATTTTGTACCAATTAAAAATGTATAAAACATTCCATTTTTGTAGCTAAGAAGAATAGAAATTTTAAAGTAAGGCTTCTGATAGGAAAGTGATTCTATATAGTTGGTACTTTATGGGGTCAATATTTCCAATGATTATAAAATGCGCCGGTAAAAACAACATAAAAATTAAGCTTGATGCAGGGAAAACGTGGCCATGTATTGCAACATACACTATTGCTTGTGTTGTATGGCCAATGGTCAATTTAACGTAATACAATATCGACTAGGTGGAATTGCTAAACGAGTCTCTGTCGAAGCTGAGAGCTCGAATCAGGCGAAATCTCACTCACACCATTACACATGTACACCCTAATACATTCACCCTACACAGAAAAAACACACATCATATATGGTTGTATAGCGTTAAATTGCTTGGTTGGTTGTACTTTCAAATTATTTTTAACAAGGTATCAAATAGGTAGGTAACTCTCCTGTAAATACCTTATGATTAATCCAAACAAAAATTAACAATTAACAAAATAACAAATTTACCCGATAAAACCGCGCATTAACCCTTTTACAATATTATCCGATAGGTTTTTCCTGAAAAAAACCCGATAAAACCGGGGTTTTCTATAACTTCATATTATTAATCATTATTCATAACATAATTTGTATTCAAACCGCGCATCGGCACTAAGTAAGTCGATAACATTTCTGAGTATTACCATTGATTTTATAATATAGTATATTATAAAATCAATGGTATTACAATAATATTTAGTAAACATATTATTAATCACAAGTTTAGGTTATAGGTTAACCAATAATATATGTGAAATGTGAATAAGACAGTGCAAAATTGTATTTACCAGTTACACCTACGTTGTTTGTATTATCTTTATTGTCGTATTGACTTAATTAATTTAATAAATTCAGTATGAATACGTTTAAGCTTTCTAATATTTTATTTAACACTGTGATTTTTTATTTCATTTGCGTAGCAGGATCGAAGAAAAGAACTGATTGCGAAATGTACTACGATAAACAATTGGCAGTACAAGAAAAATGCGATATTTCTAGAGAAAAATGTACTAACTTTTCAATGGGTGTGCGTATCCAAAAGTCATTTTTTCAACAACATAGTTTCACGTTGGACACTGCGTGGAAATCTGTCGGAAAAATCGTTTATTGTAGAAACGGTGCTTGTAGTTTCGAATACACTATGAAGATTGAAAAAAGTACACAGATTGAGTATGGCAATGAAAAATCTTCAACGCGATCGTCCACAGTGGGCAACAGTGAATCTATTTCAGGTACAATAACTGCAGGTGTTAGTGCTGGTTTTTCGGCCATGGGCATACAATACGGCGGATCGGTTGAAACTTCTGTACAACGTGGTAGTGAACGGTCATTTGAAGTCACTAAGGAGAATGGCTTTACTGTATCGTACTCAACGAGTACGGCAAATACTGTCGGTTTCGAAGAAAAAATAATTTGTAATGGCGTTCAAAATGAAAAAATATTTATACAGGCGCGAACAAACATGACACGAATGACGGGCAACGCTTGCGAATATGTATGTAGTTTGACAGTGGGCGAACATAATGTGCACATAGTAACTTGTAATTACGTTGATTTAAGAATGTATCCGGTGCAAAATGAACATATATTCACCGAATGGGCATGTATTCGCGAAATTTTTTAATGAGATTTTAACATTAAATTATGATAATATTATTATAGAATTATTAGAACCATGTAGTAAACAATTACTAGTATAGGTATTATTGTTGAATAATAACGAAACGTTTATTAAATTATGTAGTTTTTATTTTTTCAGCATAAAAACAACTCATTAAGTCGATAAAACATTAACACCACGTACAAGGTACGCTTGCAACATAATTTTACATTGGACTCTACATGGAAATCTGTAGGGAAAAATTATCTATTGTAAAAGTGGTGCTTGTCATGCAGAATTTACTATAAAGATTGAAAAAAGTACACTGATTGAATATGGCAATAAGATATAGGGATATAGTGAAACTGTTGTAAAGACTATAACTGACAGTATGAATGCTGGTTTTCGGGCATGGGCATACATGTTGGCGTAGGTATCGACTAAAAACTTCAGTACAAAGTGATAGTGAACGATCATTTGAAGTTACTAATAACAATGGTTTAAGGTTTAACTTTATTTTATTCAACTAGTACAGCAAATACTGTTGGTGCGGAAGAAAAATCACACGTGATGGGGTTCAAAATGAAAAAATATTTATGCAGGAGCGTACAAACATGACACGATTGAGGGGCAACGCTTGCGAAGTTGTAGGTAATGATTTTGGTAATAAGAATGAAAGCATTTTCAAGTGTAATTACGTTGATTTAAAATTGTATCCAGTACATAATGAAAATATAGTCACCGAATTGCAATGTAAGTATGTAACCCTGAAATAATAGATTTATATAAAGCACTATAATATAATTATTAGAATACTATTGTAGTAAACAATATTAGTAGTATTGTTGAATAATAAAAAAACATTCATTACACTATGTAAACAAATCTTTATATCGATAACACCGCGTTCAAGGTACGCTTGCATTATCAAAGACATGTAAAGTATAAAGTCAAAGTTCTAAGAATAAAATGTATATTTCTCATCGGCATACCGTCGGCGCCCTTTCATCTAGCACTTGTGCTTCGGTGGTAAATCTTCTCATGACAATGCTTGTGGTAATGTACTCGTCCATTTCATAGTTATCATAATTCTGGATTTTTAATAAGGCTGACAGGGAACAAAACTACAAATATTTCATGTTTTAATTTAATATTTTATTATTTTGGGAAATAAAGTTAAAAAAGGTGGGTAAGTAGATGTCGCTCTGCTGTACTGTAGGTTACAAGTGGGTTACTGTATAATGGATGGTATTAAATTTGAATGCAATGATATAATAATACAGTGACCCACTTGTAGAATTCTATACAGCGCAGAGCACCTTAATTAATTGTTTTTATGAATATTAAATATATTATTAAAGTTATGTCACATTAAAATGTATTATTTAACACATTATTTACATCATTATATATTTAATAGCATACAAATAAATGTGAAATTACAATAAAAACAGAAAAATAATACCTAAAATGAAAACATAAAATTTTTAACGTAATGTGGCGAGGCGATACATTGGATGTTTTACTAAAAAGAATACACTTATCCATGGTGATTTTGTACCAAAATTTATGAATAGTACTCTGTACCTACGACTGTAGTTCTGTAGTCTGTATTTTTGTTTGAATTTCAAATAATTGAGACTCGCGAGTGATTCAAATTTTAAGTCTACATCGAAAAAATAATAATATTATTATGTTGTTATTAATTTGATCTTCAGGGAAAAACTTAAGTTAAAGAGTTGAAATTAATTAGTTTTAAGTCCATAGACATGATGAAAAACAAAATGTTTTAATTGTTTTCTATGGCTACAGTTATACTTATCACTTATATTATGAATTATTTTTTTCGTACTTAGTAATAATTTCTTATTTAGTAAGTACAAATAACTGCTGCAGGTATAACAATAATTTACAACATACTACTATATTAGTCATATATTTCTAAATTTTAAAATACATATTATAAACTATCAACACGATGAATACGAAAAGTATGATGGTATAGTTTATAATGGTTTTAAATAGGTACCTACTTTTCTCTTTTACTATAAAATTTAAAAATAAAGTTTTCTTAAATTAGTCATTGACAAAATGATTTAATTCACAAACATAAGTCCACAGTGTGTAGGTATAGTTTTCTTTTGGTTAAATAAAGTAACTAAAATTACTTTCTGATGGGAGGGGGGGGAAGTAGGTAAAATAAGTACACAAATTAAACGAAATAGGTACCTATCAGAATACACCTAACTTAAAAGTGTTCATCAGTTATGTCCATTGTTGATAGTTGAAGAATTTTAATAACAGCCACTGAAGCTTTTTGGTAATTGCATACTCTTTTTTCAAAGAAGTTTGTCCTTCCTCGTTGCAAATGGGAACGGGCTTGACTACCTGTAAAACAATAATTTACATATTTATATGCAATTTGATAATTAATATTACAATGATCATTTTTTATCAATTTTTACTATAAGCATAAGCTAAACATACAATTGAATATTTAATACATTTTTAACTACAAAATAAATTGCAGGTTGTAGATGAATTTTGTCCAAGTGTGAACTTTAAATGCTCATGAAAAATTGAGGCTATGTATCCCTTACATTTGTGAACAGATATTATAGAAACTATTATAATAGGATGCCCGTATTACATTTTCAAACTCTTTGGCATAGCAATAAAATTTATATTGTCAATAATTTTGGAAACAAAACAAATCGAAAAAATGTAAATGTTTTATCATCATAACTAGGTGAAAAAGAGTAAAATTGTATGGAGTATAGAAATTAATGCTAATAGGAACATTCGGCAGACAAATCATGTATCTGTACTTAGGGATTTTTTTTTCTCACACTCATAAAACAAAATCAATTTTTCCTTAATTATCTTTTTGTTTTGCCCGATGTATTTGAAAACCACTGGAAACATTCAATTATTACCTGTTTAACGCATCCATTGAGATGCACTTTCCCTATCGAAGAGATACCGATTTCAAAACTAGTTATGTGTTTCTTTGCAATTCCAATATTATGTTGTGGCCCTCTGCGTTATTAAAATTGGATTCTTGTTCAGCAAAATTGTATTATCTAAAAATTAAAACTTTGTTAAAAATATGTTGAAAATAATGCGAGTACAGTAGATCAAGTTTTGTACCTTTAGTCTTAATATATTACAGTGATATGACATAATGTTATAATCAAACTTAAAGGCAAACATTTTTTTTTTAAAGAACCTTATTCTTAAAATAAGTCATGGATATTTTGAGATTATAACACATACCTAACATATTCATTTATTAATTTATTTTGAGTAAACGGGCTGAGCCCTTTCCATAGACAAATATATGTCCACGCACACAATTTGATAATATTACACAATGTGTCCCGTGAACAGATGGGTATGTAGTTAGTTACTAGCACTGTAAAATAGATTTGAAATAAAAACCTATCAACAATATTCTCACCTTTAAGTTTCATAATTCGCTCCAATATTGTATGGTTTCATCTGAGTCGGTAGAATTATCTCCAAGAAAGTCAACGTCTGAAATATTGTCAATACATTGGCTCCACTACCTAGTTCCTTGCATGTGGTACTTGCATTTGTTTCAGTTTTGAAAACAATAATAAGTATAATACATTGTATGAACTAAAAACAATAAACTATGAAGTAACTTTTGGTTTTGGCAAACATTTAAAATTGGATACTTGTGTGATATACTTACACATGGGTGTGTGAATTTGACATTATTGAATATCTAAGGCTTTTCTGGGCGAATTAAAATAATCATCAACTGTACGGCCTCCAAATCCTTTATTGGTCTGTTAATTTTCTTCTAACTCGTCGTCGGAGAAACATCATTTTCTGAAAATGTCAAGTTTTAAAAATAAAATACATAAATAGGTACCAAATTCATGGATTATGTTAAATGATTTTACCTCTTAGATGCGATTTACTAGTCGTGCTCAGAGTAGTACCAATGTTGCTGTAAAGTACTAACATTTTTTTTTTCTTCTCTATCCCAGACAAGTGGTTTGGATTATGTTTTGCGACAGCCTCTGACCATATTTACTAATTTACTGGGCATTGTTTACAATCACTAATAATTGAGAAATGATTACCGCTGCAGATTCTATGCCAGGTAGAAATCGTGATGATTCGAACATTTGTAGCCATTATTTCCTTTTATTTCATTGATTTTTTGGAAATCTACCTATATTTGTAAACAAATTAGCAAATTAGACTGACTCCACAGTATTAAGAAATATAACCAGTACAACCAGAAAATAATACTTACAAATGAAAATTAACGTAATGTGGCGAGGCGATACATTGGATGTTTTACCTAAAAGAATACACTTATCCATGGTGATTTTGTACCAAAATGTATGAATAGTACTCTGTACCTTCGACTGTATAGTTCTGTAGTCTGTATTTTTGTTCGAATTTCAAATAATCGAGACTCGCGAGTGATTCAAATTTTAAGTCTACATCGAAAAAATAATAATATTATCATGTTGTTATTTATTTGATAACAATTATTACTATCATAGTTCGTGGTACATAGTGATAAGACAGAATCGCGGGCATTAAAATATTACATTTTACCAAAGTCCGAAATTTCGTAAACGATGCAGCTCCACGAACCACGATTTAAGACGTAACACGGGCATTTTACTGTCTCCTAAGACGGATATAACAAAGTTTACGATCAGCAGATCACATTTAGCATCGTGAGTTCAAAAGTTAGAGTGAATCGACGTATATTGAAACAATTAGCAAATTTACGTTCTGCGTAATAAAATTTATTATTTGGGTCTGTGTACACGATAAGTAGTCGAAATAATGCTTCGCTTTTCATCTTTTCCGGTGGCAAAGTGAATCTAGTAGGTGCATAGGGCATGTCGAAATGAACAGTACCTACCTAGTCTCCAAAAGCGGAGGGAAAAACGAAAAAAAAATATAGGAAAACGTGAATTTTTACGTAAAATCGTTTTCGGTATTTCGTGTAAGTGGTGTAACTATAAATT